GCCAACTCTTAACCAACACGCCACTTGGCCAACCCCGTGGATTTGCATTTTAGATTTCTCCTGTTTCTATGTGGTCACATGCCTTGGCTGATGGTTCAGTGTGCTTCCCATTGATTACATGGCCTGGGCATAGAACCAGCTTCCTTTACAGCAGCTTTTGATAATCTCCCATAAGGAATAGAGTAGTGTTAAATGAAAATGCCGGGAGAGTCTAGAAGAGGACCTTTGTAAGGACGATGATGTTAGTTCTCCTGATGGAATATGACTATTGTAAGGACGATGATATCAATAGTAGTTATCATATTTCCAAAAGATACTACTGTTTTACTTTTCCCCCTAAATTTACCTCTCTCCTCCTATCTTAGAATGATATTTTGGCAGATCCTTGTATAAAGCAGTATGGAAATGTCTGCTAGTAGTAATCATAATTACATGTGTTCTATTTGGGTTTCATAAGGCTTTGCAGCTATCTGTATATGGAGTTATTGTAATTTGTATCATTGCTAGTTCTTCACTATCTACAACTTTCCCTGGGGTATGTTATGTTTGTGGATTAATTTATGTATACTAAAGAGTGATGCTACTAGAAAAGACCTGCTATGTCTTGTTCAAATGCCCTTTTGCCTTAAGGATGATGTTGTGATGGGAACTCTGACAGTGAGAGAAAATTTACAGTTCTCAGCAGCTCTTCGGCTTCCAACAACTATGACAAATCATGAAAAGAATGAACGGATCAACATGGTCATTCAAGAGTTAGGTCTGGCTAAAGTGGCAGATTCCAAGGTAAGTGGGAAAACCGGATGGTATCACCCCAGGCAATAGGACCTCCCCTGTGTGGCTAGTGTAACTCTTATTCACAAGTTCCCTATAATGTGTGTGGTCATAAGTGCCTGCTTTCCACAGGTTGAGAAAAAGTGACTAGTTACATAATATGGAGGTGGAGAAAAGTAAAAAAATGATTGAACTCTGGAAAGGAAGTATGGNAGGATTAGATAGACCTTTGTTTGTGCAGCAACACCTTCTGTCATACCTACTTCCTTGTTGCTTTCTTGTGTTGGTTAAGAAACCCTAACTAGGAAAATACAGAGAGAAATGATAGACACAAAGCTCTTATCTTTTTCTACATGCCTGGATAGAATTGACTGACCTTTTTGAAAGGTGACAAGATTTTGGGGGAACATAACAATGAAGAAAGTATTTTTACTTCAGATTTTGTGCTAAGTGGAAGGTGACAAATCATTTCACTATGTGCAGGTTGAATAGGTTTAAAATGCATAGCGTGTGAGTATACATTTATCTAGGTTATGTTTTAAAGCTAGTAGATTAGTAACCCAATATAATGAAAGTGTCTTCTGATCAAGTCTTCTTAATGTCTTTATGGTACACTGGTATGCATTCCTGCAGTAGATGAGTTCATCCGTATATGCACTCCTGTGTTCATAATCTCAGCCAATTTTTTTTCTTTTTTATATAATTAAAAAATTTTTCAATTACAGTTGATGTAGAATATTATATTAGTTTCAGGTGTACAACATAGTGATTAGACATTCATATATCTTATGAAGTGATTTCCCTGAGAGGTCTCATACCTGTGTTGTTTATTTCTGGGTTAGGCATCCATGAGAAAGGTCATTCTTTTCATTTGATATAGTGTTTCTAATCTTTCTCCTATCTGCTCTCATTTATCTTAGTTTTGTTGCTCTCATTTATCTTAGTATTGACTGATGTTTGATCATACCCCACCATTCAATATAGTAATTATATACAAAAAAACTATGAAGATCTTGATTTTTATTTTGCCTGTGAACAATTTGTAATTCATTTTTATTATTTTTTTAAAGATTTTTTTTTTATTGGCTGAATTGTGAGAGGGGAACAGTTTTGGGGAATTCGGGGAGGGGGACAGCCAAGTTGTTGTCCTTCAATCTTAGTTGTGGAGGGTGCAGCAAGCTCAGCTCCATGTCCAGTCGTGCAGCTCAGCTGAAGGTGCTGTGTTCAATTAGTTGCGGGTGAGCGTAGCCACCATCCTATGCAGGAGTTGAACCGGTAGTCTTGTTGTTAAGAGCACGCACTCTATCCCCTGAGCCACCTGGGCGGCAGCTCACCTCAGGGTGCCGAGTTCAGTCTTTAGTTGCGGGTGGGCGAAGCCCACCATCTTGAACAGGCAGTCTTGTTGTTAGGAGCACGTGGTCTCACCAGCTGAGCCATCCTGCTACCTGTTGACAGCTCAGCAGCAGTTCAGCGTGAGCGCAGCTCAATGGCCCGTGTGGGAATCGAACTGGTGACCCTGTTGCTCAGTGCTCATACTCTCGAGCAAGCTCTTAACCAACTAAGCCACTCGGCTGGCCCCATGTAATCTCATTTTTAGTACTAAGTAACTAGAACACGATGTTCTCTATGGGGGGGAGGTGATAAAACAAAACCTGACTATGAGAATTCAAAAAGGTGAGATTTTGCTACCTCATGATAAATCTTTCTGTTATGCTTAGTTTATCTCCATACCCAGCATTTGAGCTTTTTCTAACCAATGCTGAAGATCTATAGAAAATATGGTCCATTCCAGTGGATGTATGGATAGCCTATAATCTTCAGGGAAATTCATTATCTACTTGGAGATTTAAAAAAAATTTAAACTTTATTTTGAAATAATTTCAGACTTAAACGTTGTGGCAACATAACTTTTACCTAGATTCCTCACCTGTTAACACTTCACTGCACTTGCGAGTTATTTTGACTGTTTAGAGACCCACTGTCATTAGGAGTTTTCTAAACCATTTGAGAGCAAGCTGTCCATGAGATGCTCTATTATCCCAAACTCCTCTGCTGTGTATTTCTCAGAAATAAGGAACCTCTCCTATATAACCACTCGGTCATTATCTAGGAGCAGCCCAGGGGAAGCGAAGCCTCACAATGGATGCAGTGGTGGGTCCTACGGGGCCGCTGGTCATCCATGCCCTTCACACACTGACTGCCCACCGCATCGTGTCTCCTCAGTCTCATCCAACCCGGGATTTTCCTGTCCAGCCCCAGGTGATGTTAACCTTGATCACCTGGTCACGTTGGTATCTGCCAGCCTTCACCATGTCACCCTTTTCTCCTTTGTAATTAATAAATATTCTGAGGGGAGATACCCTGATATTATTCCAAAACCTTATTCCTCATTAAACCTGAACGCACCCACTTCAGCCCCATTGATGACTCCTGCCTGAATCAGCAATAACTACCATGATGATAGTGAGCAAAGGGTGATTTTCTGTTTCATCCTACTCTTCTATATGGATTAGTTTACATTCTACTAAAAGGAAAAAGCTACATTCACCATATCTTCATTTATGTATATCAGCATGGGCTCATGGATTTGCATTAAATTCAGTAGCATTTAATAGTAATGCATTAGCATTATTTATCTCGATAATCTTGGTGTTTCCTGTTTGGTCAGTGGGAAACCTTTCAAGGTAGGTTCGGTGTTTTGTTGTTTTGAACTCATTTTTTTTTGACACATTCTCTCATTCTTTGAGTGTTTTGTTAACACGGCTAGAAGTTNATCCAAAAACATTCAGAGTTTGTTAACTGTAAAGGAGTTGTGCTTCATCGCGACAACGCAAGACCACAGACAAGTTTGATCACCCATCAAAAATTATTGGAGCTTGGATGGGATGTGTTGCCACACCGACCATACTCGCCTGACCTTGCACTGTCAGACTTCCACTTGTTTCGCCCTCTTCAAAACTCCTTGTGTGGTATAACGTTCAATTCAGATGAGGCTGTAAATCAGCACCTTGTTCAGTTTTTCACAAATAATGACAGGTCCTTCTATGAACGAGGAACCATGAAGCTCACTGAAAGATGGCAAAAGGTTATCGAACAAAACGGGCAATATATCAATGATTGATCTTTGTTCTATATATAAATAAATGACCTTTGAAAAACATAGACAAAATATGTCATGACTTTTCCTAAGACCCAATATCTTATTGAATCTAATAAAGCCAAAATACTTTTACTGAAACAAGTAATCAATATAAAAATGACTTATGAGGGTCAGTTTGGCTCAAATAAACTCTTATAAAAATTCAAAAAATAAATGACTAATGATGTATTTTTCATTCTTTTTTAAAAATTTAGATCTCTCCTGTTTACTATTTTCAATTGAGCTATAATTGACATATAACATTAGTTTCAGGAATACAACATAGTGATTCAATATTAGTATATATTGTGAAATGATCATCACAATAAATCTAGTTAACATCCGTCACCACACAGTTACAAGTTTTTTTTCTCATAAGAACATTAAATATCTATGCTTAGCAACTTTCAAATATATAATACAGTATTGTTAACTATAGTTAACAGCTGTACATTGCATCTCCAGGATGTATTTATTTTATAACTGGAAGTTTGTATCAAGACGGACTTGTTTTTTTTTTTCCCCACTTTTTTATTTTTATTTTTTTTATTTTTTTTTATTGTGAAATACACATTTTTTAGAATTAGTTTCAGCTGTACAACACAGTGCAATAGTTATACTTCTTACCCCTCAAAGTGACAACTCCCCTCCCCCAATGCACTGCCCCACTATGCCCCCCAATATCACACACATCTACTACAATTCCCTTGACTCCCCCCCACACTATACTCCACGTCCCATGACTATATATATATATATATATATATAT